ATTGGAGGGGACACGTCCCCCCCGATTCCTACGCCCTTGCTCTTTGCCTCCGTCACAGAGCTGTCTATTAAAAAAATGTGGAACAAACATAAGTACAAAGTCCTGACGTCCACTACAAAGTACATTTATAGTATATTTATAAATCAGCTGTTTTTGAAAATAAAATAAATAAGCTTAACTCTGAAAACTCACTCAAATATTCCTAAGATGTTTACTTACTTGAAATAAGTGAAATATAACATTAAAACATGTTTAAATTATGAATATCATGCTTACCTTTCTTTTTTCCATAAAATGTGCTTTTTGGGATGGCAGCCATTTTGTAAAGACAAGGCAACTTGGCAAGACCACACCCCCCACATGTGGTATCATATTACAGCCCTAGTTGTCCTCTTTAAGGAACGACAGTATAGTATTAGAGTTGTTAGCAAAACACAATGTCGACTAGAGTGGACAAAAATGAATTTCTGGGTCTCAGGAGGATTGTCCTGAAGTGCTAACCGGTCATTCCCTACCATAAAACACCCTTAAGCCCTCTTGAATTGATTCAAAACACCGTACTCACTTGTTACAGAGATGGGGCAGTCGCTAGCCTCTGTTTGTCGGAGCGGAACTTTCCGTGCTGCAGGTTACCGTCAGTCTAGACCCAGGCGTTGATCTGACCCTGTGACTGTGACCAAATGCTTATCAGTCACCCCCTTACCATAAAAACACAACCACCATAAACACATTCTTCCCCCACATAACCAATTTTCTTCCTTCTCTCTCACACACACACCAAATCCTTTTTTTATCAATTTATTATATATCAGTATAAATAAATAAAATGTATAAATTACCTTGACTTATATTGGGTGGCCACCTGGACTGGAAGAAGACTGGAAAGTGTATCAGGCTGGGTGTATCCGACTCATATTCAACATATTCTTATTATGAAAGTATAAGGATTAACTAGCTGGAATCTAAGCTAGCTGATAGTTGGTTGCTGTTAACAACTTGACACGGTTGCTTTTACATTTTCCAGTTTTAGAGTGACATTTCTTTTTCAGCGAAAACTAATATATTTAGTCATTTAACTTAGCTAAAGTTAGTATTAGTGGCTAAACGGCTGTTAGCATCATTGCAAACGTTAGCATTGTAGGAATAGCAACATTACGTAGTGGCTGTAACACATTACACTGCATTATGCAACAACACTGCATTTATTTTGTAATAATTGCTGCATTTTGTAATAAGCAGCAATAATGCAGATAGTAATGCAATTCCATGTTTTGTAATAAACTGTTACATATTGTGGTGGTTATTACAAAATGCTGGAGTTCCACGTTTATATGATGAAAACAGGACTCCCCAAAAAGACCATCCAAAAGCTTCAGCTTATTCAAAATGCAGTTCCTTCAACTCCTTCATCACTCTTTGTCTGACACAAGACAAGGGTTTTCATAAATTTCATCACATTATAGTCATATAATTCAGTTTACAGCTCAAGAAAAAAATTGTTTAAACATCTATCCCAGCTAGTTAACGGCTCTCTTTTCCCTCACATTAATAAAATCATGAACAGTTTGGAAAACCAAATGGTTGCATGTTATTTCCTGTGCTTTTCTTCTTCAAATGGTACACTTGTCACAAAGAGAAAAAGTGGTACAACACGTAAAATTCAATGTCTTTCCAAGACAATATATGTTCCATAAAACCACAGAGCTGACAGACTGAGACGGGAGCGTACCTATGTTCCCCAGGTCCTATGTTCCC